CAAATGAAATAATATAGGTAAGTTGCTTGGAGCAATGTCTGACGTGGTAGGCCCTTGACAAATGGTGATTTTTAACAGTAAACTTTCCAGACAAAATAGAAATAGGTGGTTTTTCACAAGTTTTAATGAAAAAAAATTCCATTTTATTTGAAAAACGTTAGTAGATAAAATATTCTAGAACACTTTCACCTATTTTAATTAATCATAGATATACCAAATGCAATTTAAAAAAATTATCCCAAAGGACTAGTCAGCTTGATTTATGTATTTTTTTTACCAGTCACTTTTATTTCAGAAGCCCGACATTTCCATTAAAATGCTATTAAGTAAAAACAGGATCTTACAGTATTTGTGATGGCTTGGATCCTAATGTGGTAATTGGAATTATCTCCAGCAAAGATACCATTTCTCATTGTTTTATTTCCTCTTGCATATCAGCTTTATCTTTAGTGCCTTCTTCCAGCTCGGTAAAACCACCTCCCTCTGAATTTGTGTTTGAGTTCATGAAAATAATATCTGTAGCTTTGAAGACCCTTTTCATCATGAGGTTATTAACTGAGATTCAGGAAGGATGGGAAATGGTAGTCATCCACTAAATATAGCAACCCTTGAAAGAAATGTGAAAGGCTATAGCTAGAAGAAAAAACAGACTCATTCTGCAAGCCTCTGGAGGCAGGATGGGAGGCAGGAGTTGCATCCTGGAGAATGACATCCGCTGGTTACCACTGGGACAACCTTTCTAGTCTGAGGTGTCCCGGAGGTGGCGGGGTTCCCATCACCAGGGCAATCCCAGATAAGGTCATGACCCTGGACGATGTCCTGACCAAACCACTGGCTGGTGTTAACGTCCTTATCTATCTGGGTTTAAATTTCTTCTCTAAAGTCATTTCAAAAATATTCTGGAACTAGATAGTGGTAACAGTTACACACAATGTGAATTGCATGAAATACCACTGAATTGTACACTTTAAAATGGTGATAATGGTGAGCTTTATGTTTGTTATTATGCTATGATAAAATCATAAATGGCATCATTGGACAGAATGATCTCCAAAGCCACTTCGAGCTGTAAGATTTTATGCTTCTGAGAAGGAGCACATCGCTCAAGGGACTGATCACTGACTCATTTAGTCAAATGACAGGCCATGTGACGCTAAATCTCTAACTGAGGGAGAATGGTTAATTAATACAGAATACTTCATGTCATGAGAAATTACACTCATGAAAACACTTAATGCCATGGGAAGATACTTACAATGTAAATAAAAAGAAGGATTTGGAATGCATGTAATGTAATTCTAACTTTATAAATATAGATAAGAAATCAAAATGTTAATAGTATTGATCTCAGATTGCAGAATTACAAATGATTTTGACTCCTTTATACATTTCTGAGAATGTCTACAAAGAGCATGACTTACTAATAAAATCTTTAAATAACTCTTTAAAATAAAGAACTCAATAATTCCGCATAGGATTTGTAACCTGTAATGTGAACCATGATGTGTATTCGAATAATGGGGTGGTGGGTCGGCCGCAGTGGCTCATGCCTATAATCCCAGGATATTAGGAGGCCAGCCAAAGCAGGAGGGTCCCTTGAGGCTAGGAGTTCGAGACTAGCCTGGTCAGCGTAGCAAGACCTTATCTCTACAGACAAATTTAAAAATTAGCCAGGCTGGCCAGGCATGGTGGCTCATGCCTGTAATCTCAGCACTTTGGGAGGTCAAGGAGGGCAGGTCACCTGAGGTGAGGAGTTTGAGACCAGCTTGGCCAACGTGGCAAAATCCTGTCTCTACTAAAAATACAAAAATTAGCCAGGAGTGGTGGCATGCACCTATAATCCCAGCTACTTGATAGGCTGAGACAAGAGAATCACTTGAACCCAGGAGGTAGAGGTTGCAGTGGCAGTGAGCCAGGATCTCGCCACTGCCCTGCAGCCTGGGTGACAGAGCAAGACTCCATCTCAGAAAAAAAAAAAAAAAAAGTAACCAGGCTAATGGTGGTGCACACTTATAGTTCTAGCTATTCAGGAAGCTGAGGCTACAGTGAACTGTGATCGTACCACTGCACTCCAGCCTGGGTGACAGAGTGAGCCCCTATCTCTAAAAAAAAATAAAAGAAAAGAAGAAGAAGAAGGGCTGGGCATGGTGGTTCAGTGGCTCATGCCTGTAATCCCAGCACTTTGGGAGGCTGAGGTGGCTGGCTGGCTTGAGGTCAGGAGTTCAAGACCAACCTGACCCACATGGTGAAACCCTGTCTCTACTAAAAATTAAAAAAATTAACCGGGCACGCTGGTGTGCGCTTGTAATCCCAGCTACTCAGGAGGCTGAGGCAGGAGAATGGCTTGAAGCCAGAAGAAGAAGGAGAAGGAGGATAAGGAGGAGGAGGAAGAAGGAGAAGAATTAGGGTAGTAAAGTAGAAGAGCAGTGGATTCTAAGAACTGACTTCTAATTCCAGTTCAGCTAGACGATACAGGTGCAAAAGCTTGCCAAGCCTCAGTTTCTTGATCTGGAACAGGGGCGTGGTCATAACAGCCTCCTGCACAGAGTGGAGTGAAGAGCAAATGCCCCCCTAACTGTGGGGCGGTTCTGCTGACTGAGGAGTCCTCTGAGCTATTTTGATTGTTATTGAGTGCATTCCAGCTGTACATTTCCAAATCTTTCCTTGAATAAAAACTTACCGAGTGCTTATAAAGTCATTGATTGCCACTTACCCAGTAATTTAAGGGCTAATTTCCGGTAAGAGTGTTGCCTTTTTTCTCATCTTTCTTCCTATGACCTTAATGGGAAAACATTTCATTTCATCTGAAAAGCAACCACCTGATATTTACTGTCTTAAGTTCAAGGTGATGATGACAAAATCATTTTAGCTAAAGGAAAATTGCAGGCCTTTGGGCACATTTGCCTCTCCCAAGGAGCAGGACTCTCCTCTTTGTAGGAGGGAGTATTTCTTTCCTTAAAACCCTCCACACTGTTGAAGTTGCAAAGAGATTTTTCCCCTCATGCTTCTCTGCTTCTGCCCTCTGCCTGTCCTTGCTTTGAGACCAGCATCAAGACCCACTAAGGAAGAACCGGGAATAGGCCTTCTGGGACTTTTTATTCACACAAGGGAGTCTTTCCCAGAGGCTGGCTCCTTGGACTGGGATGAAGAGAGGACCCATTCAGGCAGGGCTGTCATGCATGTTGTTTTGCTATTGAATTTAAAAGAGCTTACAGGTTACCACACATGGTAACCTGGATATTTTAAGGCTTATGTTGCAAACTTTTTCAATTCAACAGATTCGATGAAACTTTCCCAAACACCAAGTGTGTACCAGATCCTACAGAAATAGGAGTTCAATTTCTTTGTGAAATATATGTAGGCCATGCCTTCAATGTGCTCACACAATGGTGAGACAGACTGGCATGGAAACCAGTGCAGTGCAGGCACGACAAAGCAAACAAGGCAGCAGGGCCAAAGAACGGAAGGCGTGGGCGAGAGGGACCCGTGTGGTAAAGAAGACATCTCAGCTGGTTCTGAAACTGGAACAGAGTGTGCCAGGTGGCCAGGGCCAGAGGAAAGCAGGCACAAAGACACCCAGATGGCCCAACCTGGGCACTGATGATGTGCTTGCTTGGAAATGAGAGCACTGGGCATGAGGCCATTTAATAAGTAGAGAACGGGCCTTGGTACCATTAACAGCACCACATCTCAGTACCGTGAGATGTCGTTCTAATTTTCTTGGATCAGTTAGTCCACCAGGCAGCATTTACTGACCATGTGTAACATGCTCAAGGTTCTGTCTCAGGCATGAACATAACAGGCGGGAGAGGGTTACACCTGGCCCCAGATCCTGACAGGATAGGACCCAGGAGTGGGAACTGAGCTGCAATTGCAGAGAGGGCCTTTGGGTGTGGAAAGGAGCTGGGTGTCCGGGGGACATGGAGTCTCTGGTTCCAAGGCAGGCCAATGAGTGGCAGGTTGGGAGGAGCAGCACACAAGGCTTGGGCTGGAACAGCGCGCCTGGCGAGGGCAGCGACTGGAAATGAGGAGGCCCGAGAAGAAGTCAGGAAGGGCCTCCAGTGCCAGAGTGAGCACTTCAGACTCGGGAGTCCTCAGTGGTTTTAGCAAGTAAGTGACTCAGCCAGGTTGGCCTAAAAAGAGGTGACTCAGGTGCCAGTTTGGAGGTTGGATCTATGGATGGGCAAAGCCAGAGGCAGGAGGGCCTTTGCTGCAGTCCAGGTGGGGGCAGAGCAGGGGTTGAAGGAAGCAGAACTAACATGCAGGTGGAGGCAGAGGAGGAGTCGGCATTTATTCTATGCTTTCCTGTTGGGTGACTGGCGGATGGTTGTGACATTCAAGGAGATGGGGGACATAGATTTGGGGAGAGGGGGAATAATACGTGGGTTTAAGGTGAGAAGAACATTCCAAGCTAGAGGTGGATATTTAAGAGTTATTAGCTGATAGTTTTCTTGAATATCAAAATAATTTCTGAATAAAATATCCTAAGGAATCACAACACTATAATCATTTTTTTTATGAATTCCAAATTTAAAAAAAAACAGTAAAGCCAGAAACATAATTGTTCCTATTCCTAGAATTTGGTAGCTGATGCGTCTTTGCAAATTGTTCGTTGAACCGTGCTCTGGCTTCTTGCCAGCCCTCAATGAGATTTTTATATTTCTTAATTATTCAATTACTACCCGTAAGTAAGAGTTTGAAATCAAAGCCAGACTGCTACATAATAGAGTATTCTCTTGAATCGTGAGTACAGTAAAGGAAGGTTTTCATGCTGGGAAACCAGGATGGATGGAAGGAGGAAGCTCACGTTTCCAGCCCTGGTTCTGCCTTGACTTCACGTCCTGGCTTTGCTGTGTGCTAGCTGTGTGAGCTTGGGCAGGTCACTTCTCTGCGGTCAGCCTTGCCGCCTGTAAAATAAAAAGATCAGTAATGCTGCCTCCCGAGGAGGTGGTAAATCTGTAAGGGAAAGTGCTACATCATTCATTCCTTGTGTGTTTTAGGTCTCAGCAGCTTGAAAAAACGTTCGCTGGCAAGGAAGATGCTTTGGATGGCGAGCTGACCAGTGCTCCAGATGGCAGCGCCAACCCTGAAGCCCACCTGCCCTCTATTTGCCTCAAGCAAGTGTTCCCCAAGTACGCAAAGCAGTTCAACTACCTGCGCCTGGTGGACAGGATGGCAAATTTGTTTATCCGGTTCCTGGGAATCAAGGGGACAATGAAGTTGGGACCAACAGGCTTTCGTACCTTCATAAGGTCAGTGAGAACAGCCCCTTCTGGCTTGGGCTTTGGGCAGGGTGGAGTCCGATCTCACATCTGGCTGGTTAGGTCTCCTTGACTGCACTTGGGAGAATCTGTGGTGCTGGGTCAGTATCCCGTTGGAGCTTGGATCAGCCTAGTGGCTGGCGCACGGTAGACTCTCATTCGTTGAGTGAATTAATGAATATGATGGATGTGACAGCATTCACAACCTTATGTTCATGATTAAAAAGCAATTCTGTGCCCACCTTGAGCTGAGTCCAGAAAACGCATATTAATAATCACCCCCTGAAGTCGGGCAGACCTGGTGCCTCTTAACCAGGCTTCTCCCAGTGGTGCATGGCCATGTGCTTGGCGTTCATGAAGCCACAGCAGAGAAGCAAAGCACATCTTTCCAAAGTGTCAGTTTCAGGAGGGAAAAGTTAAATAATTCAGCTGATAAATATTTTAATACATTTGTTCTAATATAAAAATAACATGGCTATGTTATAGAGTATAATGCAAAATTTGCATGAAGTTTAAAGATAAAACATGAGATAAAGAAATCATATCTTTGCTGCAGCCTGCAGAGTAAGCAATTGCTACTTGTTTTCTTGAGATTACATGTTAATTTCCCTCTACCCTGTGGAGCACTTTGGGGCAATACAGCAGCATTTACCAGCTTCTAGGGCAAGAAACCCTAGGGCATGTCAATGAGCACCCCTAAACCTCAATGACTTCATCCTGACAAAAGAGGATGAAGCTGTCTGTGGCCTACAATAGCATGTGTAAGATTAGTTAAGGTTCCATAGAAACATCTAGCATGTGGTAACTGATCAATAAATGTCAGTTTCTTCTTTCAAGGCTAAAAGAATTTCATGAAATTATGTGTATATCTATATAGATATATATGATCTTACACAGAGTCTTGATCAAAGAAGGTTCCCACTAAGTATGTATTAAACTGATAAATCCTAGATCCCTTTAACAGATAGAATCGGCTATACTAGGGAATTGCTCCTTAGCAGTTAACTGTAGCCTATACACCCCGAGGAGCACGTCTCCCAGCACTCAATGTTGCTGTTGTTTTTCTCGTCACTGATTTTAATATTTTTGTCTTGCACCTCAAAGTCACACTTTCTACAGTTTTATTCACTAAAGTAATTAGAAGTCTTGAGTGGGAAACCACTTTTGTCAAAAGCTTGTCTCCAAAGAAGTTTTATAAATTCGAACTCTAGCCCTCTGCTATTCCTGATAGGATGGTAAGCAGAAGTATTGGCAGGAATTTTGCCATTTCAGTACACCTGAAGCAGTATTTTTGCATGCTGACTTTGAGAAGGGATTTGCGTTAGTTTCAGGAGGTAGGGCTGCGATGGGGAAGAGAAGCCCAGTGGAGAGAGGACAGGCTTTTGAGATCAGACAGACCTGGCTTCAGAGCCAAGCACATTACTTAATAGCTGTGTGGCTTTGGGCAAATTCCGTATCTTCTCTGCATTCAGTTCTCTCATCTGCAAAATGGGAACAATTGTTCCTGCCTTACAGGATTGTTATGAGATTGGGATAATTTGTCTTAAAGCAGCTGGCTTGATGCCTAGTTCATGGGAGCTGCTTGTTCAGTGGGAGTCTTGTGCTAATTATTTCCATCAGGCAGTGGGAAGTTTCGAAAAAGTCAATAGGCATATGTTATTATTTGCGCTGAAAAGACTGCCTGACATGATACCCTCTGACTCACTTAGGAATTACATTTGGCTTTCAGAAATAGGTAACCATCTACAAATAGCTTAAATAGTAATTTTCTTTCATACGAGAGGAGCTTTTGCAGTGGGGGTTCTAGAGCTGGTGAGTGACTCCACAGCCACTCAGTTTGATCGCAGTCTTTCAGTCACTGTATGATCCATGTTCCACTTTCTTTTTGCTCATCCATCCTAAATGTGTACTTCCGCTTCAGGGTTGTCTTACAGTCACAAGAGGGCTGCTCAAAGCCCAGCCATCATGGCTGAGTTCCAGGCAGAAAGGGAAAGAAGGGGTGGAAGAAAACAGGCCTCCACAGATGAATTCGATCCCTTTAAAAGGCTTTCCTGGAAGCTGTGTTCAGTGACTTCCTCTTCCATCTTACTGGCTGCCAGCATCTGCATGGGAAGCTGGGAAAGAGAATTATTATAACTGTGCATACTGCTGTCCCATTATAGTGAAAAAGAGAAATAAGATAACAGATAGGTAGGCAGGCTCTGCCCCTTTGTGATTCCTGGACCTTGTACCATGAGGAAATAGCTTAGTGACAGAGGCCACAGGTCATGAGGGCACTTAGGGCACTGTGGAAGTATTTCAGGACCCTGGAGAATGATGAGATTGAGCAAGCTGGGCTGCTTCTCTCAGCATAAGGGCATAGACCGTTGGAGCAAAGGCAGATGCTTTCTTGGCCCTCCCCAGCTTTTGTGCCTTCACACGGAAGACTCAATTCAAGATCACAGAGCATGAGGTCTTGACTTCATGGGGATGACATCTTGGGAGTTGCAGGGAACCCTGGTCCTGTGAGATCTGTTCTATCTCAACCTTACGTTATAAAGGATTATGTCTGGTTTGACCTAACAACTGTTCCTGAGCACCTGGTAGCCATGGGACATTCGAAGGCAAATAAAGGGACCGTGCTTGCCCTCAAAGAGCTGCCAGCCTAACAGACAGCATGTAATGAACACATAATTAAATGCAATGTTTTGGCAGAGTCACAGGGCGGTGGCTCATGGACTCCCCAGCAGGCAGCATTTGGTGTGCTACAAGTACAGAATGCAGGAAGTTTTGCCTCCCTGGTGGAATCAAGGCAGGCCTCCGAGAGGAGGCAGGGTTTGGACTGGTAGAAGCAGGATTTTTCCAGGCAGCAGGAAGAGCCTGAGAATGGATGGCACGTATAGTCCAAATTTAGAAGTTAGAAAGGTTTATCATCTAGGCTAAATTGCTGGTAGAGATGGAAATGCTTCCCTTTTACTCCTAATAAAGTCCTACCTGAACTCAAGAGAAAAGGAGAGATTTGAAAAATTATTTGTGGTAAGAATCACCATCTCACTTGCTTATAGGTTAGGCAGGAAGCATCAGCTGTCACAGAGGGCTGGGCAGACAAGGTCAGGGAGGGAGGCAGGCTGTGGCAAGCTGGAGAGCACATCCCCGTCTAAAGGAAGGCGTCGCCGGGCTCACATCACCAGAGCTTTTGATTTTTTCATCCTAAATATCTATGTAAGATCTCAATACGTATCTGTAAATGTTGGCAATTTGAAAAATAATTTTAAACACTATGGATTCAATGAAAGCATGACTGCCCATCGACACCATTGGTGGGTGACCTCTGGTACGACAGGAGGAGGTACCTGTTAAGAGGACTGCTATGACTCTTGAAAAGAAAGAAAGAATTGACAATGGCTCTAGCCAAGAAGATTCCTAACATGCTCTCAGACTGGAACCGGGCGAGGTCAAAAATATTGCCACATATCTGTCTCCGTGTGATAGGCTTTAGGATTTTCCACCCTTCTGTTCTCTATAATTGAGGGCATTTGCATGAAAACCTGGGTTGTGTGACCTTAGAGACTATTAAGTTCCTGCAGCCATCATTCCCAATCAGTGGCCAAGCTCTATTAGGGAGCCATGGTGACTGACCACGACACTGAGACCCACGTCTTCAAGTGGGGACCAGGCAGCCAGGGCACAGGGACTCAGACTGAACTTTCTCCCTGCTCCCTCCCCTCCCAACAAATTCATGTAGTGAATAAAAATTCAGGAAGAAATGGAAAAGTATTACACAATCCTTAATAGATTTTTTTTTCTTTTTTTGAAATGGATGAAGGGTATGCTGAAGCTCAAGAGATGGGACATAACTTGCCCAAGGTCACACAGCTGGAATTCACATCTAGTCCTTCCTCAGAAGACAGAGTAGTGGGTTTGAGAGCCGTGGGGAGGTGGAGATGGAGTCTCACTCTATTGCCCAAGCTGGAGTGCAGTAGTGCGATCTCGGCTCACTGCAGCCTTTGCCTCCAAGGTTTAAGCAATTCTCCTGCCTCAGCCTCCTGAGTAGCTGGGACTACAGGCGTGTACCACGATGCCTGGCTAATTTTTGTATTTTTAGTAGAGACGGGGTTTCACCATATCGTTCAGGCTGATCTTGAACTCCTGACCTCAGGTGATGCACCCACCTCAGCCTCCCAAAGCGCTGGAATTACAGGTGTGAACCACCATGCCTAGCCAGATTTTTCCTTTTCAAAGGTACCAAAAAATCCTAACAGTAACCTAATCATAAAAGATGATATTCTCCGCCTTTAGATTTCTCTGTGTATGTTCAGTCTTGCCAGCTAAATTTAACAGCATGCACTTTCTCTTGCTAACAACCCTTCTCTCTCTTCCTTCTACTTTGGTTTAAATTTTGCTTCATTATGAATTAATAATATTTATGCCATATGTTAAATCGAACCAAGTGCCCTTCTCAGGAGCACTTTGAAAAAGACATATTGGCTGGCGAGATATACACTCCTCTCTGCGCTCCCACGCAAATGGCAGAAGCTGAACTTGCTTTTCATCTGTTCTACCCACTCTCTCTCTCCAAGTTCCTTGAAGAGAACTAGAGGGAAGAAAATAATAAACACTCCAGTTGAATTTATTTCCAGTGTCCATCTCTTATAATGTGCTGCATAGATCAGCAGTTTTCGGAGTGAATTATGCTAATGCCAGTCTGGCCATCTTCTATTTTCCCTTTTCACCAAGAAATGAGAAATAATGAACTGTTCTTCTCTCGTCTAGACTTAACTCTCTCTCACCGGCTTTTCGTGTCACTTCCTCAGGAGGAACATAATAGTAGCGTATATTACCATGAATTAAGTGCCCCTTTTCTTTCTTTTTTAACATTTTATTTTATAATAATTGCTGGGGTGTGAAGCCATCTTTTTCCCTGAGAAATAGACATGATCTGATTGACTCTTCAGCTTGACAGCTTTCTTGGAGGGAGATGCGTTTTTGTGATTCTCCTTCCACTGGATTAC